TAAGATTTCTCTGTGTAGCTTTGGAGCCTATCCTGGCACTTGCTCTGTAGACCAGGATGGCCTTGAACTCATAGAGAGATCCGCCTGCCTCTGCCTTCTGACTGCTGGTATTAAAGGCATGTGCCACCAACACTCAACCTGTTAATTTATTTTCAGCTTGATTTCCCCCTGTTGATTTGTTAATGATAGAATGTAAAGCCACAGGTTGTTTTCTACATAGGGAATAAATTTCACAGAATCTGTAACAAACAGATTTTGACTCATCTTTGGCCAGTAATCAGCCACTTGTTTTCTTGTTAACAATCAGTGTGCCTTTTTTTGTTTGTTTTTCTGTACATTCTTCTTGAGATAGGGTCTGTATAGCCCAGGCTTGAGTTGAACTCATATCAAACTATGTAACTTTGAATAATCTTCATCTCTTCATTCTCTTGCCTCTACCTCCTGAGTGCTGGGATTACAGGCAGGCATCACTATACCTGGTTTTTACTGGGTACTTGTGATCAAACCCAGGACATGTGTGGTGCTAGGGAAGTACTATAGCAAGTGAGCTACTTCTCAGCCTCCTGTATTCATTTACTAGTTTTTGACACCCGGAATTGGGAAGTACAAGGTTTCATTTGGCCCAGCTTAGCTTTGAGCTAACTATGTAGCCTAGAATGACTTTGAGAACCTCATCTATCTCCATTTATTGCCTACCCTCTCTGCCTGAGTTCTTTTTTTGTTTTTGAGACTTGGTCCTAACATATGTTATTAGCTATGGCCAGCCCAGAGCTTGCTGTATAGCTGGCCTCAAACTTGGCACAATCCTTTTGCTTCTGGCACCTGATCACTGGGATTACAGGCATGGGCCAATATATCCCACAAATCTGTTCTATTCCTAAAACTAATTCATGGTTATTTTTAGACACATTAACTGTATTTACAGACTACTAACTTGAAACTTGTAATTTTTAGATTAGAAATATAAGACATATAACTAACCTTTTGATTGTCACTTTAATAGCTTAAATTGTCTATTGTCAGGCACTGAAGGATAGCACAGAAGTTGAAATTGTGGATGAGAAAATGAGGAAAAGGATAGAACCAGAAAAATGGCCAATCCCAGGCCCTCCTCCACGAAATGTGCCACAAACAGACTTCTCTCAGTTGATTGATTGTCCAGAGTTCATACCAGGCCAGGCCTTTGGCTCCCATACAGGTAACTGCTTTTCTTCTAGTGCAAACAGTGTAACAGTGGGCTGCTTGATGAGGTTGCCTATCTGTTTGTAGTTTACTGAGCTTTCTTGGGAAAACTAAAGCTAATTAAATGACTGCTGGTCCTCCCAATATTACTTATGTTATCTCCCAGCTAGACTATAATTATGCAGAATCATAGGTAAAGGTCTATTACTGTTTCTTGATCTTAGATTTCGTCTGTGTTGTCTTTTGTGGGCTTTCTTCCTATCTTTTAATTCTACTATATATAGTGCCACTTTTCTCCATGTAAAACTGAAAGAGCCAAAAATTGTGCTCAAGACTGGATTAGCCTTCCTTTACTTTTGTTAGTAAGGTACTTTAATCTTGTTTTGAAAATATAAAATAACCCATATTCTAAAATATAGTTGGGATTTTCTTTAACCTGGTTCTTTTGAGTTTCCAAAAACTACATTAGTGTTAAGAATTTTTTTTTTGCCTGGTTCATTTTAAAGATAATTGCTCTTGGGAAAAATATGTGTGCTTAACCTTTTTTCAGTCAGGGTGATGATCTACTGATGCTCTTGGATGTCATATGATCGGAATGTACAGTGGAGTAGGTGACTCCCTGAAATACCATGTAAATATGAGAGCAAATCGTGCTGCAGAAGTGAGAGTGACCATACTGTCTTCTGTGCAAGAATGTCTACGCCCACCCCCTTGTGGAGAAGGTTGGGCCAGCCTGCAGTGGAGATAACCACCTTTACGATAATGATGTGAGACAGACCAGAGGACTGCTGTTGTTACTGTAGGAGCTTCTCCTTTCTATGTCATTAGCTTAGGCTGCACGGGCTACTTCATTCGTGGTGGGAAAGTTAATTGTTATCATTGGGGAAATACTGCAAATTCTATCTTTTGTTTCCAGGCATTTATACTTTGCCCAGATCAATAAAGCAGAAAAAGAGAGGATTGAGTAGCATTTCCAAAATTGTTAGGTCCTTTGCTATTTGACTTGCTCTTTAATATAGTATACTTTGCATAACTCACATGTTGTCATATTTCACATGTACTATAAGATGTATTAATGTGAATACTTAAGGGGTAAGAAATTTAAGTTAAATAAATAAGGGCATTTTTCCTTTATGCTTCAAAATTATTATTTAAGGGCTTTTCTTTTTATTGTTTTATTTATTATTATTGTATGTATATGATATGTGTGTTTGAGTGTGGGCACATGTGTGTCATGGTGTGTGTGTGGAAGTAAAAGAACAACTTTTGAGAGATTGTTCTTTATTTCCACCTTGGAATTCAGGTATTAAACTCAGGTGGTCAGATTTGCATAGCAAGTGCCCTTACCTTCTGAGCCAGGTGGCTGACTTGAAAATTGTATTTCATACATTGGCATGAAAGCACTGCCTGCCTACTACGCCCATCATCATGAACCAGAATAAATGCTTCTTGTCAGGAATTTGGTTACAGCAATGAGAAAAGTAGCTAATAAAAAGGTTGGTACCAAGAAGTAGAGCTGTTACTGTGACAGTCCTGACTATGTGGTTTGTAGGCATTTGGAACTGGTTTTTAGGTGGAATGTGAAAGACTTCTAAGCTGTAGGCTAGAGAAAACTTAGGGTATTGTAAATAGCTTAATGAAAAGGTATAAAGTGACCATTGTGCTAAGCGGTTTTCAGAGAGAGAGGCAAGGAATTTGGGGGGAGCTGAGCTAAGGGCTTTTTGTATTTTCTTCTGATGAAGGATATCAGATTATTCTGCCCATTCCTGAAAATGTAAGTCATAGAATGATTTGCAGTTTGTTTGGCAGAGGCAGTTTTAAGACAGCATTACATTTAGGCTGAGGTGTGTTTACTACTCACGGCTCTTATTCAGATCTATAGCAGGAGAAAGCAGAATAACTGGAAAATGTGCAGTTTGGGAAGAAAGGAGTGCACCATCTGAAGTTACCAGCAAGCAGAGTGCACACAAAGTTTTTGTAATTGTTAGTGCCAAAAAGAGGTATCTTACAATCTTCACTAAGACAGGAACTGTGCCTTGAAGGAAAATCTGTGGAAGTCTCTAACTTGTGAAAATGGAAATTGATTTGAAAGAAGAGAGACTAAATGGAGACTGTGGCTGATGGGGTGCCCTGCTGTGGAAACAGACTCCTAGGAGAAATGTTTCCCAGGTTTGGTAGCCAAGTTGTACAACGGCCACTCATAGCAGTGTTAGGAGTCCAGACAACACCTCAATCTGGCAATAGAACTTGATGCTTCATTCACTTCATGGTAGTTTAGTAGGCACGTAAAATTCAAGTTACAGAGTCATGGAGGTTTATACCGGAAGCCGCTGTGTGGCAAAGGAGATTCTGTGAGGGTCAAGTTACAAAGTAGACTTCCAGGCTGTTGGAAACTCCAGAATTGTGGGACGTCTGCCAAGGAAAACTGGAGGAATAGAACATCTCATGAGAGAGGCTTTATATTGCTACAAGTGACAAAATTGGAGAAGTGGAGCTGCTCATGGTCATTGGCGTCCAGATGATAGTACTACAAGCCCCAGATGCTCAACATGGAGCTTCAAGGTCTAGTGTTTGCCTGCCAGAATTAGGTCTTTTTTGACCCAATCTTACCTTGCTGTACCTCATTCCTCTGTTGGAATGGGATGTTTACTCTGTGCCATTGTAAATTGGAAGTATATAACTTGTTTTCTGAAATTATAGAGACTCACAGTTAAAGAGTTTGTCTTGCATCTCAGAAGAGACTTTGGACACTTGAACACTGATGGGACAGTTTAAGACTATGGGACTTTTGAAGTCAGACTGAATTCATTTTGCTTTATGAGTTTATGGGGGCCAGAGATGAAATGTATTGGTTTAAGTGATTTGTTTGAGATTGATGGTAACAAGGAGTGTACTTGTGATGCTGAACCTTCATTGACAGCTTGACTGGATATGTCTGTGAGGGCATTTCCAGAGGGGCTTAACTGAAGAGGGAAGACCCATCCTAAACATGAGCTGGGTGCTTAGCCTGGGCACCAGCGTTCATCTCTCTGTGCTTCCTGACTGCAGATGCAGTGTGACCAGCCACCTCATGTTCCCATCACCATGCCTTCCCTGCCATCATGGACTCTACCCCTCAAACTGTGAGCCAAAATAAATCCTTCTTCCCTTAAGTTGCTTCTTGTCAGATGTTTTGTTGTAGTGACAAGAAAGGTTGCTAAATATTCTGCCTCTCAGTGAACAGTGATGGATCATTTCAGATATTTCTCTTTGAAACCAAAATACTTCTTTTGTTTCTTTTAAACACCATATGACCTAATTAATTCTTTTAAAGGTATTTTAATTATAATTGCAAACAGTGCATAGAATTTGTTACTTGTTGTTACCCAGAAATAGTCTCTGTGCAGTCTAAAAGTTTCACACATTTTGTACCACCAAGGTTTTATATCTCTGCAGATCTTTTATACCCATAATTTTTTCTCTCTGTAATAACTAGGATATGTTTTTAAAGATATGTTTTTAAAGGATATGTTTCTATTCTTAAAGATTTAACAAATAACTGAAAGATTTGTTGTGTAAACTTGGAATCCTTTTTAACTAGCGTATGAACAATTAGTTGGGGAGTTGGGAAATACAGAAAATATTTTTTTCCACAAGATAGCTGTAACCTTGGGGGTAAAGTGATATTTCTAGCCAGCTTATGAACAATTAATTTGGAATGTTGGCCAGTATACAAAATATTTTTTTCTACAAGATAGTTAAGATAGGTCAATCAAGTTGGAGTACCTTACCACTAACCGTTTATGCGTTATTAATAAAATTGCAAGAATAAAATAAGTTTTGTACATTTTACCTTTTGACATGTTTTTATATTCATACAAATAAGCCAATATAAATGTCACATTAATATCAGATTCTTAGATTGTACAAAGAGCAAATAGATGGTAAATAAATAAATAATTATATGGGATGTTGATAGAATCATGCTGTCTCACATTAGCTCATAGGAGTAATTCTGTCCATCACCATTTCCTCTGAATCTTCACATTCTGACCTTGCTAGTCTATTCGTAGACTGCTTAAAGAAGTATACACTGGAGAAGAAATAAGGTAGGAAGTATAGACAGCTACATAGTATAGCCAGTTACATAGTATAGTTCTTATGTAACTAGGTGAAGTAAAGGAGTGAAGATATTATCTAATACCCTTGAATCCCAAATTATAGTATCTTAATAACTTGATTGTATTTTCTGTGCCATTTGTATGGTAAAATATTTTAACATAATTGATCCTTTTCATCACAGAAATGTAAATATCTACTTCTTCCTCTTTGGAGGTTGAATTGTGTAACATGGGTTGGCATTGCCACTGAGCAGAAGATCTTAATCACCACAAAAGGTTGATTATGAGACTGGTAAGATGACTTCTGGAATGCAGGGTTTGCTGTGGGTGTGGTATACTGTCAGCTTCTGAGGTGTGGAAGGGCCTAATGGCTACTGAATAGGCTGTGGGACTTTTTTTAAAAGCTCTATGTCGAGGTTCTTAAATACTCATTACTTGGAACTGAAATCACTCCACACTACATCAAAGCATACATTTGGAGAGCCAGGCTGACTTTTCATTTAATAAAAAAATCAGCAAAGGTAAATTGTCTATAGTCTCACAATTGTTACCAAGATCTTATGTGTCTGAATAATTTTATATATGTAAAGTAAAATCAGAAACTTCAAATCTTACTTGAACTTTTGATTTTAGCTTTTTTAAAGTAAGTACTTTAGCTGGATGGTGGTGGCGTAGGTCTTCAATACCAGTACTAGAGAGGCAGAGGCAGGCAAATCTCTGTGAGTTTGAGGCTATAGCCTGGTCTACAAAGCTACAGAGAGAAACCCTGTTTCAAAAAAATAAAAAAAAAGTACTTTAAAATATTTTAAAATAAAAGACTAGGGCCCAGAAAACATGTTGTGTAAATTTAAGCACAAAGTGAACAACTTCAAAGTTTCATTCTAATGGTGTTATTTTTTTCTTTGCCAAATGTTTTACTGTCCTTCCATTTCTAAGCACACAAATGTTTTAGTATAATAGAGCACTTCATGGTACATTCATAATTCAAGCTTAGAAGACATGAGGAGGTGGGTATAAGAAGGCTAACCTTGTGTAACAAAGGGCTGGAGAAGGTGGCCAGAAGACTCATGTAGGGCAGCTCACAGCAATTCCAGCTCCAGGGGATCCAGCACCCTCTTCTGGCCTCCTTAAGCACTCATACACAAGTGGCACACCCTCCCCCAATATAAATAAACCTAATAACTAGTTTTGATTTTCCTACTATGGCTCCAGTTGCTGTTCTGACATGTAGATCTTAAATACATGTAGTTCAATTAAATTTAATGATAGCTGTATAAGGAACTAAGTCATCCCCATAGTTAACAAGATAGTGGTTCTTTGTTCTTTTAAAACTTCGATCATTTTATAAATATTTCAGAGTATTATAAAAACAGTTCTCTGGAGTTAGTGGTTTTTTTTTTTTATTCTTTTCCTATATTCCTCTATCAGTGTGACCGAGTATCATCCTTTTGTTTCATTTTTATTGGTTTTACGAGTAAATTGGTGGTAAATGTGCTGTTTATGGAGAATGTTGGTCTTGTGGTTCTGGGTATCAAATCCAAAAGCCTCCTATTATCCGCATGCTTGCATGCCCATACCTGCTGTATTGGTTGGGATATTCTTAAGACTTTTCTATTCAATCAAACTGCTTCTTTAAAAATAACAGTGATTTGATGATTGCATCTGTGTGTCAAAGGGGAAGATACTAAATCCACCTCTAGCATGTTTAGGGAATTAAATCTTGCAATCTCATCACACATACTCCTGCTTTGTGCTTTTAGTTTAGTAAATAAAAGATTCACTGTTCATCAGTTTCAGCTTTCATATAACATTCACCCTTGAAGTGATTTTAATGAATTAATTTTGAAAGTAATGATGTTTACAGTTTTAAAATACACACTTGTAAAAATAAATTTTGTATATAGTCAAGGTTTTAAACAGGTTATCTTATGACCTGGGGAGGAAATTGTAACTTAAAACACTTAAATAGAGCCAAGCAGTGGTGGTACACACCTTTAATCTCAGCACTTGGGAGGCAGAGGCAGGCAGATCCCTGGGTGTAGGCCAGCCTGGTCTACAGAATGAGTTCTAGAACAGCCAGGATGATACAGAGAAACTGTCTCTAAAAACAAAAATAAAACAAACAAAAAACAACAACAATAACAACAACAAAAAAACCCAATCTTTTAAAACTTTTAGAGGAAACAGTTTAGGTATTGTAAAAATAGTTTATATTTATTTTGCTTAAACATATCTGACAAGGTAAGATAAAGAAAGGTTTAATTTTTAAAAAAAGCTTTATATTTTTTGTATGTATTTGCTTGCATTTATGCATGTGTACAATGTTTGTACTTATGCCTGTGGAGTCAGAAGAGCAAGTCTGATACCCTAAAACTGAAGTTACAGATTTTTGTGAGCGGCCATGCAGATACCCAAATCTGAATATAACAGCAAGTGCTTTTGCCCATTGAGCCATTTCTCCATCCTAAGAAAAGCCCTTTAAATTCTGAAGGTTTTAAATGTTGTTGCTAGAGCTACACAGATTTACAGGGATGACAGTGTTTTGCAGTATGAAGTAAGTGGGCACACTGTCTTTCATGCAGGAAATATGGGCATAGGTGTAATGGCTACTGTAGTTTGGATATTTGTCAATCTGTCATAATAATTTTGCCTTGAATATCATGTGTGTTTAGACTACCTGTGGCTTAATAGCAGTTAACATTCCATAGTTCAATATGCAGGCTTTTAATTGGTGACTCACTGATACTTTTGAAGCAGTAATGAATATAATGATCTGTATAAGTGCTGGTGACATTCCTTCATTCAGTGGCTTTTCTTTTGAATATTCAGAGTAAATTTTGCAAGGCTTTCATATTTGAAAATCATGGAAAGGTTTTGGAATTGACTACCATGTTTTTGTGCAGGAAAATCCATATTAAGGCAAAAAGAAATGCAGTTTATAGGTAAGAAGAACCAGTATTTTAATTACAGAACTGATTTAAAATTTTAGAGTCTGCCCCAAACTCTCCAAGAATTGGAAGTCCACTGAGCCCAAAGAAACATACAGAAACAAGTACTATCCGAGTGATGTCTAGAGGTTTGTCTACCAGCTTACCTGATTTGGACTTAGAACCATGGATAGATGTGAAAGAGAGGCATCGTCCATCCTTGGTGATATTAAAGGTAAGTTTACAAACCAAATGAAATTTTGCCTTGAGCATAATGAGTTTTTCTGTTTGTCATACATAGATTTTTTTTCAAGGTTTTATAAAAATTGGAATTGTGGCCATCAAGAGAAACTTGGGTTACTTTTATGAAAAGTGAATTATATTTTCTCTTTTTAAAGATTATCTTTCATTTTTAACATAATTTGAGAATGCTTTGTCTTGGTCTTTTTATTTATGAAAAATGTCCAGATTTTGAAGTTATATCATCATTTGTAAGGCTATTAAAGCACATTGCAGGCTTCAGAAAAAAAGAAGCAAAAAAAAATAGATTTCTTGGTGCACGAGAAAGTATCAGATGGTTATAATGCGCCAGAGGAAGTGCTGGAAGGAGGGCATAGTGGTTAAGGGTATTGGGTGCTCTCCAAGAGGTCCTGAGTTCAATTCCCAGCAACTACATGGTGGCTCACAACCATTTATAATGAGATCTTGTGCCCTCTTCTGGCCTGTAGGTAAACATGCAGACAGAACACTGTATATATAATAAAGAAATACATCTCAATAAAATAAAGCAGAGCTTTGCTCTGTTTAAAAAAAAAAAAAAAAAAAAAGCTTCCAGAGGAAACTGCCTTGCATTGTTGACTGGTGACTGATGCATAACTTACTATAAAATGTTTTAACCAAATAACTAGTTAGTACAAGTGGAAGTTGGAAAACCTAAGTAAAATTGTTGGCTTATGTGGGTAATTTGTCTTGAGATAGTTGCAATGTTTTTATGGACTAGTGGGTGAGGGATGAGTAAGATCTACTGTTTCTTACAACTTTGTGAATATACATTTGCTGCAAAATAAAAAGCTTGTCAAAGTTTAGAATAAGTGCTATTTGGATGCTCAAATGTTGAAGATAAGCTCTATAAGGAAAGGTAACCAAAACTATGGAGCTGAGCTGTGTAAGAAGAGAATGCTGGGATGTCAAAGGCTCATAAACAAGGTTCCTTCTCCTAGAAACCAGAGGTACAGAGAGGAAGATGGGATTTCAAAGACTCTTCATTGTACATCTGTCTGTCCATATCACAAAAACACTTTTTTGTTGTAACTGGGAGGGTTCTGCTGTATCTAGTGAAAGTCAGGAGTATTGCTGCTGACCCACAGTGCCCTGAGGGCCCCACATGTTCTAAAGTATTACCAAGTCCAATGTCAATAGTGTTGAGTTTAAGAAACCTTAATAAAAGGTAACTTCCTTTTCTTTTTTTTTTTTTTGTTCTAATACTACAGTACAATTCAGAACCTCAGGTATGCTAGTCAAGTGCTCTGCCACTGAGCTATATCCCAGCCCCCCAAACAATTAGACACGGTGTATTTAAATGTCAGAAAATCACCACATTTCAAAATTTGTACTCCAAATTGCTTTGGGGAAACTCAAGTCATCTCTATGGTCTCAAAAACTTCCTGGGTACCTGTGGGGTATGGTATTCCTACACTAAGGCATGATGATGGAACTATATTTTACTCAATTTGATAGCCCCTTTTATGTCTAAAATGTCTACATTTCAACATCTACTTTTCAGTAGTATTTGAGATTTTAGTTCTTCTTAAAATTGATAGTCATGAAGAACATAAAAATCCATTTTTGTGTGTCTGTACATGTAGAGTGTCAGATAATATCAGTAGTCAGTATTCCTCTGACTGGTACTTAACAGTATTAGTAAATTGTAGACTTTTTCTTGTGGCTGTGAGTACAGTCTGTTCACCCTTGGGCAATTTTGTTGAATGTCAGATACAACCCACACTTTTGATTAAATGAAAGTTTCCACAGGTTTGGACTTCTGTCCTACACCTTGGCAGAGAACAGGCATGCTGACTTTGGATCTCAGCCATTACAAAAATAAGGAGTATTTTTCTCAGAGAGGTACAATTAGTTTCTCTCATTTTCTGATGAAATTATATTTTGTCTTTCTGCCCCTGCTTCGACTAGTTGAAAACAGATGTTATAAAAACTTCTCTACTAAAGGGCTGGATTAGGTGGTTTTCCAAACACTTGCTTTGATTGCTCCCTGCTCTTTGTGCCTTCCATCTGAAAGCTTTCTAGGATCCTGGTGAGAGCAGTGCCTTCTGTTTTCTTTGCTATAATACTAGCTGGTTCTGGGTGGCTACATCTTCTTGTGTCTGTCTCATCAGTGTAATCACATGGACTATATGCTTTCATATTTTCTGACCTAATAATTATTTATGAATGAACATAAGCATGTAGTCAGATCATCTTCAACCCCAAATCTCTTTTTAAATCTGTTCTTTAAATTTTTCTTTTCTTTATTTATTTAGCTTCCATTAATGAGGGGAGGGCGTGGGTATGGAGGTCAGAAGACAATTTGAGAAAGGAGGTCAGTTCTCCACGATATGGCTTGTAGGATTCAACTCAAATCATCAGACTAGGAGGCAAGTTCCATTTCCTGCTGAGCCTTCTTTTAATTTTTTACTTTTTTTATTTTTTTTTTTTTTGTTTTTCGAGACAGGGTTTCTCTGTGGCTTTTGGAGGCTGTCCTGGAATTAGCTCTTGTAGACCAGGCTGGTCTTGAACTCACAGAGATCTGCCTGCCTCTGCCTCCCAAATGCTGGGATTAAAGGCATGCACCACCAATGCCTAGCTTGAGCCTTCTTTTTAGTCTCAACCCAAAAACTTTTAATCGTTCCTTACAAGTTGAAAAAAATGCATTTGAAATATAAAGTTCAAAAGTGAAAGGTTGAGGCAGGCCCCTAATGACCAAGCAACCCTGAGTCCGCTGAGATCACTCAGGGCTGAGTGGAGAGCTACTCCTGCCCCCACTTAGGGCAGAGAGGAGAGCTTCGGCCCCTGCCTTGGGTACAACTTCTGCCTGTCCTGGCTTCTGCAGGCAGATCAACTCGGTCCCTGAGGACCAAGCAACCACAAGTCTGCTGACTAGTCCTGTGCCCACCCACCTGGAGAGGGAGTGACTTAGACCTGCCTACACCCACCATGGAGACCCATCAGAGTTTTGGAGCCTCTTGCATACACTGGAAGACAACCTTGGACCTGTACACACCAGGAAAGGAAGAGACAATATCAGCAAGACCTCAACATCCTAACACAGATGAAGCAGAAGAGAACGACTTTAAAAACAACTTCATGCAGATGATAGAGACCCTAAAAGAGGAAATGAGAAAATCCTTTAAAGAAATGGAAGAAAAGACAAACTAAAACTTGCAAGAAACAATTCAAACAGTGCAAGGTTTGAAAGCCCAGATAGAGGAAAAAAAAAAAAAAAGTCTGAGGGAATGCTAGAATTAGAAAAGACAGGTAAACGATCAGGAACTATAGATGCAAGCATGACCAACAGAATACAGGAGATGAAAGAGAGAATCTTAGGCATTGAAGATACACTAGGAGAAATAGAATCTTAAGTCCAACAAATCCCTAACACAAAATATCCAGAAAATATGGGACACTGTGAAAAGGCCAAACCTAAGAAGAAGGTGAAGAAACACAACTCAAAGGTGCAGAAAACATATTTAACAAAATCATAGAAGAAAACTTTCCCAACCTAAAGAAAGACATGCCAATGAAAGTACAAGCCTACAGAACACCAAATAGAGTGGACCACGAAAAAAGTCCCCTCGTCACGTGATAATTAAAACACCAAACGTGCAGAATAAAGAAAAAATATTAAGAGCAGCAAGGGAAAAAGACCAAGTAACATATAAAGGCAAACCTATCAGAATAACACCTGACTTCTCCATGGAAACTCTGAAAGCCAGAAGGTCCTGGATAGATATTCTACAAACACTAAGAGACCACCGATGCCAGCCCAGACTACTGTACCCATCAAAGCTTTCAATCACTATAGATGGAGAAAACAAGATATTCCATGACAAAACCAAACTTAAACAATACATAGCCACTAATTCAGCCCTACAGAAAGTACTGGAAGGGAAACTCCAACCTAAGGAAGTTAATTACACTCACAAAAATATAGCCAATAGATAATTCCACTTTACCAAAAGCCAAAAGAAAAAGCAGGGTAAATCCACACACAATACCACCACCAACAACAACCAATCAAAAACAAACAAGAATAAACACTCAATGGTCCTTAATTTCAATCAATATTAATGGTCTTAACTCCTATTAAAAGACACAGCATGACAGAATAGATGCAAAGACAGAATCTATCATTCTGCTGCATACAAGAAACACACCTCAAGGTATTCCAATCAAATGGACCCAAGAAACAAGCTGGTGTAGCAATCCTAATATTTAACAAATTAGACTTCGAACTAAAATAAATCAAAAGAGATGAAGAAGGGCATTTCATACTCATCACAGGAAAAATCCATCAAGATGAAGTCTCAATTCTGAACCTCTTGTGTTCCAAATACAAAGGCACACACATTCATAAAAGAAACATTACTAAAACTTAAATCACACATAAAACCTCACACAGTTATAGTGGGAGACTTCATCACCCAGTTCTCACCCCTATACAGGGCCACCAGACAGAAACTTAACAACTAGACAAAGAAACCAACAGAGGTTCTGACTGACCCAATTGGGATTAACAGACATCTATAGGACATTCCATCCAAACACAAAAGATCAACACCACATGGAACCTTATCTAAAATTGACCACACACTTGGCAACATAGCAAACCTCAAAAAGTACAAAAAAATTGGAATAAACCCATGTCTTATCAGACCACCATGCTTTAAAGTTAGAATTCAACAACACAAATTGCAGAAAACCTACCAAGTCATGGAAATTGAAAAACACAAATTTGCACCATTCCTGGGTCAAGGAAGAAATAAAAAAATTAAAGAATTCCTAGAATTCAATGACAATGAAGACACAACATGCCCAAACTTATGGGACACTTTGAAAGCCATACTAAGAGGAAAGTTCATTAGCACTAAGTACTCACATGAAGGAACTAGAGAATAGTCACACCAGAGAGTTGACATCACAGCTGAAAGCTCTATAACAAATGGAAGCAAACTCACCACA